GGGCGGGCGGGCGGCGGCGGCGGCGGTCGGCGGGGCGAGCCGAGCCCCTAGTCACCAGTTTCATACAAAACCAAAAGCAGGTCGAAGCATTTCCTGCAGGACTCCGAGCCCAGCGACTTCCAGCCTTTCGGCTTCTTTTGATGCATTGAAGAAGGGATTAATGGGTCCGTCATCAGCTCCCTGTGCTTGCTCCTCTGAAGGGGTGGGGGCGGGCGGGAGGGAACCCAAAGAGGAGGGGTGGGGGAAGAAAGATTTACCAAATAGGGGATTTAGTCATATTTGTGTGCGAGGCGATCCTTATTAGAGAAGAAATCCTTTAAAATCGAACAAATCCATTTTTGCAAAACCCTCTCCCTGCGCGTAGCATGGTATCAAGTGGTAGCAGCGGCGAGAGGCTGAAAACACATTGCGCCGTCTGAAATCCTCTCGGGAATGGATGGAGCGAGGCAGAGACGGAGGAGGCTACAGAGATGTCCCCTCACTTCTCCGGTCCAGGGCGAGAAGCAGAAGAAAACCCTAGAGACTCTTCCGTTCACTCAGTGCAGGGGAAGGGGAAGGGGAAGGGGAAGGGGAGGGGAAGGGCGGGAGGGTGGCGGTGGTGGGGGAAGAATGATTTCCAAACTGGGAAAGGAAGAGTGAGAGGAGAGGGGTAGCTTCCCCTCCCCGGGTCAGGGATCAGCCAAAACGCTCATGACTTAGTTCCTCCTTGAACTGCACCTGCCAAAGGGAAACCGAAGAGGTTTTCCCCCCTGAGAGGCGACTTCTCCATTTACACACCCCACACGCGCACGCACACCACACGGACACGCACAAAAGGGAGCAATAAAAGTTTAGCTGCTAATCCTCCGGCCGCAGATACAATGATTGCCTCTTCCAATCAGCCCAGAGACGACAGCAAAATCTCTCCCTTTCTCTCCCCCCCCCTCCCTTTCTCGGGCTTATCTTTCTCCCCAACTACAGCCCACCCCGAACACCCATCCCTTCGACGAGGTTGCGGAGGGCTCGCGGGAAGGGAGGGGGGGAGAGTAAAGTAGGGGAAAAAACCCCATATTAATAATAAGAGTACTGCGAGAAGCTGAAATGATCTCAGCGAAAAACGAGAGAGGAGGAGGGAGTGCATGGAGAGGAAGGGCACTGTCCCCTCTTGGCCCTGCAGGGCCGCGGCAGCCGGCACCCCCCGGCCGGGGCAAAGGGAGGGTGAGGGGGGGGCACATAGAAAGGGGGCGAGGCGCAGCGCTGGGGCGACGGGGAGGGCCGAGGGGAAGGGAAGATTTGTGCCACAGAAGTGCGAGGGGAGCAGGATGGGCTCCCCCGGCCCCTCCGGAAGGGCCGGCGCGGGAGAGGGCGGGCAGAGCCGGGGCCCCCGGGGCCCAGGCAGCCCCTTCCCCCGGCTCCCCACGCCGCAGGCAGCACCTGGGAGGCAGGGCCGGCCCCTCTCCTCCCTGCCCGCACCTGATGCTCACGCCGTTCGCGACGAGAA